CGAGCCCCCATTTTGTTACGGTCATTTGGTGTCCACTGAAAGTTGACTAGCAATGAGAATATGGGACCTAAAAGACCCCCACCATGAGACACCCATGCTTGAAACAACTTTAGAACCAATTATCCACAGTTGCTAATAGTTACTGGTAGCTAGCTAGCTAGCTTTATTGGTCTAGGGAGTAGGTTAGCTAGCCCCTAGCTTCACTGGTAAAACTCCAGTATTACCGCTAAACTCTGTATTCATCCATTATTATTCAATTCCTTTGCAGAAGAGGGAGGAGGAGAGTGGATAGTCTCCGTTAACTGTGCTGTGCTCCGTAGCAATTAGCACAAGGAGGAAGGTGGAGATGTGCACGCCCGATTAATCAATATTTATAAGGATACATACATTTGTGTTCTGAGTGTGGAATGAAACAAGCATTTCCACACTACAACAGGAATTAGGTCTAAATAAAGTACCACAGTATGAGTCATAATACCCATAAAACCTAGCGGTAAAACACAGAAATGGTTCCAATAGTTTTTTCACCATTCATTTTTCCCAAAGGGGATTTTAGAAACACTTCAAATAAGGGCTGTGTTTCGTGTAGGCTTACTCTGGCATGACATTTAGATAACCGTGTAAATCTATCTTGGACAAGGTGACTTTTATCAATCTATTTGCCTGTATTTAACCCCAAAATGTAAATGCTAGTTAGCTGATAATGTGGCTATCATACAGAACTACAAATTCCTTTTTCAAGCTGCATGATACTCACCAGTGCCGTGATGATCTGGACAATACTGACAAATCGAGGCAAAGGTAAGAATCTCTGGATGAACTATCTAATGTTAGCTAAATGTAGTAATTAATGAATTGCCTAAATTTGTTGAAATGTATAATTCTGTAAACTGTCTTGGGCAAGTTTTAAATTTACACAATACCTGTTAGCTAGTTAACAACATTAGCCTGGCTAAATGGCTACATTAGCCATCTATTTGTCTAGCCATTTAAATGCATAAAAAAAATCCCCAAAAATAGTTGAGCTTTCTTTGGCTTTCAAAACCAACAGTCTAGCTTGCTAGTTAAAACCCCCTAGAGTCAATTGATGCACCGGTGCATCAATCTAAATTACATAACAAAAAAATCCACAACAATATCTGTCAGTTTAAGCTAGAGATATGTTTTTTTTGCATTGGATGCATCTCAATCCACTGCATCCGTCAGTGTCGCACTTCCACATATGCGGTGAAGGGTGGCAGACCTAGAATGGTGTTTGTCAGACCATGAGACATCTCTTAAGATAATTTCTATCTCTAATTCAACCTAAGCTTGAATCATTACCAGAGGTTGTAAGGCTCTGGTTTTAATCATAAATGATTCAAGGTCCACAACCAGCAAGAATGATCTGTATTTTTCTGTATTCATGGAGAGCTCTGGCGCCAAAACCCATACACTCCTGTTTTATACCTCTTGACACACAAAGGCACTTTGCTCCGCCCACCTTTAGGAGGCTTTCTTAAACAGTTTCCACCTTTCTCCTTCACCCTGGAATGTTTAGTCCCGCCCCCCTCTGTTAGTGGGTTGATAATTCTAACACAGTTTACACATTTATACTGTATTTGGGGTGAAATCCTTTAGAAATTATTCTTAAAATTCAAATTAATCTAACAACATCCCAAACGGTTTGACCTACAAACTAATGTGAGCCCACTGTGAACACGATGGTGTTCTTCTTTGCTCTACGACCCACACAAGTTTCACTGAACTCGTCTGAGGGTAACCGGTACCGGTCAAAACAGAGTAGCTGCGGTGGAACTGGAAGAGGGTGTGCAGCCGGTGGCTGGTTGGCTGGCAGGAGTAGGGGGCAGGGCCAGAGTAAGAGAGGTGACCAGAAGGATGTGAGGAGGGGGAAAGAAGGGGAAAGGTAAGGGTCTGGGGAGGGGCGTTGGGAGGCCGGCGTGCAACGCAGGGGAGTGTCTTAAACCTGTGGAGATGGGGACTGGCATCAAGCATACTGTGTCTTAAACCTGGGGGGAGGGGGACAGGCATCAGTTGGCATCAAGCATACTGTGTCTTAAACCTGTGGGGAGGGGGACAGGCATCAGTTGGCATCAAGCATACTGTATCTTAAACCTGGGGGGAGGGGGACAGGCATCAGTTGGCATCAAGCATACTGTGTCTTAAACCTGTGGGGAGGGGGACAGGCATCAGTTGGCATCAAGCATACTGTATCTTAAACCTGGGGGGAGGGGGACAGCCATCAGTTGGCATCAAGCATTCTGTGTCTTAAACCTGGGGGGAGGGGGAAAGCCATCAGTTGGCATCAAGCATACTGTATTTCTGTAACCTCCCTAAACCAGCCTGATCTGGCAAGATCACATTCTGTTTCACTGCTAGTAAAACTGTCCTGTGAGGGTGTGTCCTGTGAGGGTGTGTCCTGTATGGGTGTGTCCTTTGTGGGTGTGATTGTCCCTCAGCCCTGTCTGCAGCCTCAGCAGCATGTTGTCCAGTCACTCGCTCCAGTTCCTGCCTGTCCTTGTCATCGTGGGAACAGCTTCTAGTGTCCTCCTCACGATGGTCTGAGAGCCGACAGTCCACCACACAGAGAAGGAGAGAGAGAAAGAGACAGAGAGAGACAGAGAGAGACAGAGAGAGACAGAGAGAGACCGAGAGAGACAGAGAGAGACAGAGAGAGAATTTATTATTTCATGAATCCATAACACATACTATAAAAAAAATACATTTTGAGTCACTAAAGGGCTATAGGGTAACCAGAATGACATTATCTGATTTACAGCAAACACTTTCACACATTGCTTGTTTCAAGATAGGTTCATCCATCACATGGTTGTGTGCCATCAGATGATGAGGGACAGTAATGGTGGAACAAGCACAAATAATGGCATCCTATCTAGCTAAATTATATCTAACGGTACAATAGTATAAATAGATATCTGTCAAGCAGGAAAACCATGTCAGAAAACCTACCATAAAGGCCTGATTGGTGGAGTGCTGCAGAGATGGTTGTCCTTCTAGGAAGTTCTCCCATCTCCACAGAGGAACTCTGGAGCTCTGTCAGAGTGACCATCGGGTTCTTGGTCATCTCACTGACCAAGGCCCTTCTCCCACGATTGCTACATTTGGCCGGGCGTCCAGCTCTAGGAAGAGTCTTGGTGGTTCCAAACTTCTTCCATTTAAGAATGATGGAGGCCAATGTGTTCTTGAGGACCTTCAATGCTGCAGTAATGTTTTGGTACTGTTCCCCAGATCTGTGTCTCGACACAATCCTGTCTCGGAGCTCTACGGACATGCACTGTCAACTGTGGGACCTTATATAGACAAGTGTGTGCCTTTCCAAATCTTGTCCAATCAATTGAATTTACCACAGGTGGACTCCAATCAAGTTATAGAAACATCTGAAGGATGATCAATGGAAACAGGATGCAACTGAGCTCAATTTCGAGTCTCATAGCATAGGGTCTGAATACTTATGTAAATAAGATATTTCAGTTTTTATTTGTAATACATTTGCAAACATTTCTAAAAACCTGTTTTCGCTTTGTCATTATGGGGTATTACGTGAAGATTGGTGAGGAAAATGTTTATTTAATACGTTTTAGAATAAGGCTGTAACGTAACAAAATGCCGAAAAAGTGGGCAACTCAAAAACAGAATACTTGAGTGTCCCGAATAATAACGGGATATTGGTGTGCATGTAAACGTGGTCAGTGAGGTAAATGGAGGATTTGCTCCATGACTTTTCATTGAAGTAAAAAAAAAAAGTTCCCGCTCGTAAAGCCCTAAACCAATTATATCTGGGTGTAGCTCATGTTGTCATGTGTAAATGGCAATTTTCAGAAATAAAATTGGTCATTGGGCGTCAGTGTTATTAATGCTTTAAAGTGTCAGTATTTAACTTTTTGAGCGACCTGACCAAATTCACATAGAAATGTGAATTATAGATCTGTAATTCTCATTGAAAGCCTGTCTAAGAATTGGTAGACCTGTTCTATGTGTGGCATTTCTATGCTTCCTGTTGTTACATTTAGTTTTGTGTCTTTTATTTTTGGTTTTGTAAACCAGCTTCAAAAAGCAGAAAATACAATATTTTTGGTTATGGAAAATATATTTCACAGTGGTTTAGATGGTACAATGATTCACTACTCTATACTAGCTTATTTTGTCACATAAAGTGAAATTAGGTGAACTACTAGAATTTTAGCAACCAGGAAATGGCGGAGCAATTTCTGCATAGTGTAACTTTAAACCATCGTAACTATTATTTCGAAATTAGAATGCTCCGGCTGGAAAGGGCTAGCTAGCTGTATTATTCTGGTCTGGCTTTTTGAAAGGTTTCCTAGATGGACTGATTAGCATCCTCTCTTGAGTCAAGTGCGCTTACTTTACTGCGGGAAGACGTTGATCTGTTTGCTGATACCCCCTGGATAGCAGATCATTAGTTATGTAACCTTATTTAGTCCTACCTGCTATGGTGGGTTATACATTAATTGGTATTCACAGGTTTTGAGGTAGAATTACTGTCATGTTATTGATGCCAAATTGCAAACCAATGGGTGGGCCTGAGTCTCATCACCTCTCAACTAAACTGTTTCAACCTGGAACACTATTCTCCTCTTTTGGTCTGTTTCAGTCATTGCAGGAAGTCCTGAAGAGCAGGAGTGTGTCAAGTTGTTTTCTTCTTCCCAGCTCAGCTCTAACACCTGATTTAAATAATGAACATAACAAATATAATATAATATGATATATAATATGCCATTTAGCAGACGCTTTTATCCAAAGCGACTTACAGTCATGCGTGCATACATTTTTGTGTATGGGTGGTCCCGGGGATCGAACCCACTACCTTGGCGTTACAAGCGCCGTGCTCTACCAGCTGAGCTACAGAGGACCACAGTTATGATTTGTAATCAGGTATGAGCTGGGCTGGAACAAAAGCTTATACACACTCCTGCCATTCAGATCTGGAGCTGTCCACCCTTTAAAGTCATTATTCTGGACTATGGGCTCTCCTCTCCTCTCCTCTCCTCTCCTCTCCTCTCCTCTCCTCTCCTCTCCTCTCCTCTCCTCTCCTCTCCCCTCCCCTCCCCTCCCCTCCCCTCCCCTCCCCTCCCCTCCCCTCCCTCCCTCCTTCAACTCAAGTTGAAGTTGAACATGTTGACTGATGCCAAGGCGGCAGCTGCCAAGATGAAGGGAGCAGCTGCGGACCAGAAGACTGCAGCCAAGGCAGCACTGGTCCACACCTGCTCTGTCTGTGGGTTGAGTAGTATTGGTTGGTACTGTATGTGCCTTTAGGTTCCTCTCCATGTGTACTGGCCTTTTGATTTGATTTATTAGGATCCACATTAGCAGACGCCAATGGCAACAGCTAGTCTTACTAGGGTACAACACATAACGAACACGACATTACAGACAAAATACTTTACAATTGACATACATTTAAAAACATGAACGTGTAGTGTGTGTGAATCTATCAGTTATTGCTTAGTTTATAATTTCTGTCAACTTTGAATTCAATCTCTGCCACAGATTCTTAACTTCCTCCATTTTATACTTGACCTTTATAGATGCAGACCCGAAGACATTCAAGCAGCACTTTGAGAGCGAGCATCCCATGTCTCCAATGGTCCCAGTACTGGTTGATGTTCAGGCCTAAGTGACCACACACTCAAATGGACCTACAACTGGGGTAAGATTCTTCCATCATTCACACACACTAGGCATAGTGTAAACCATCATGTTGTCAATAAAATTCTGGCCCCAATGCTTAAGTTGTATTGTGTATGGCTCAATTTGTGGAAATGCTGTGATCACTCATCGTCTTTAATGTTGTGATTCACAGACACACGATGAGCACGATTTGACTGCTGCAACTAAGACAGAATGCCTTCGAGGGACACACGATGAGACCCTGAGTATGACTGGACAAGGGCCAGATATTTGTGACAAAGACCTAAAAGGGGAAACACACCAGCACCTCATTTTGTTTATTCCATGGCCAATCATCCCTCTAGCTACCCCTTCTTCCACTTCGGACACTCTAGAACTCTCCATGTTATCTCTGTAAACCCAGCCTACCTTTACCCATCTGCCCTCTGCTGCTTCCTTCCATTGTTCTTCTCCTGATTTGATAACATCTAGACTCAGTGACATGTTTTAAAATTGTTGCGGTATGAAGTTTTTTAGGGTTGGGCGGTATCCATATTTTCATACCGTCATACCATTTCTGTACCATACCGAGGTATACGGTATTATCGGAAGTGCACACAAGGGCCGATATTTGGACGTACAAAACAATTTAGGCAACGGGGATCTTGGTCCCTTTTTTATGGTATTGAAAATCATACCGTCCGTATATTTTGAAATGTCCCAGTATACAGTATAAATAGTATATTGCCCAAACCTACTGTTTTTGCTACCTTTTTTCCCCTGTGTAATGCTGTCATCCTGCTTATTCTGGGGTTCAGACTGAATGCAGTGGTAAATGAGCTGCTCATAATTGACAGCAGCAACATGGACCTGTTAAATTGACAGGGTCCTGGGCTGGGGTGGTTACACATGGTCTGGGGTTGTGAGGCCGGCATTGTGTTGTGTGACAAAACTGCACATTTAGAGTGGCCTTTTATTGTCCCCAGCACAAGGTGCACCTGTGTAATGAGCATGCTGTTTAATTAGCTTCTTGATATGCCACACCTTTCAGGTGGATGGATTATCTTGGCAAAGGAGAAATCTCACTAACAGGGATGTAAAAAATTAGCATTTTCAAATCTGAGATTAAATAGAGCCGGATATATTGATAAAAGTCACCCTGTCCGAGAGAGATTTACATGGTTATCAAAACGTCATGCCAGGGAAAGCCTACATGAAACACAAACCTTGTTTGAAGTGGTTCTTAAAATCCCCTATAGGAAAAATGTATGGTGAAAAAATGATTGGAACCATTTCCGTGTTAGACCGCTAGGTTTTATGGGTATTATGATGCGTCCACTGTGGGGCTCTATAGTGGCGGTAATGTCCTCTGGAGGGGGCCTTTAAACAGTGTGCGTCCTATAGACGGGCTGTGTTAAAGCCTGGATTTTGTCGTTCTGAGCCATCTCTGCCTCTGACGTAAAAAACGTTTTTATCTCCCACACAAAATTACTTCTATACTTATTTTTAGTGATGGGATGATTGATACCGGAGCTCCGACACTCTGATGCAGCTTTCAAAGCACTACTGATTCGATATAATGTACTGATGCTGATGATGACGTTCGAAGCTTCAGACATCACACTACAATCTGACAGGTGTCGGAACTCGGAACTGATGCTCTGCTGGAAGCTTTTTGTTTTTATCTAGATATTTCACCTTCTTAGCAGGTGGAAAGATCAACAAGTTCTCACAGTCTCACCTCAGAATTAGACATTCATCCATGTTTCTCAAACAACAAATGTAAAAAAATTTCCAAACGTCAAACTTCGAAGTGTTTAAGCTCAGGTCGAGTCAAGTCACAAGTTCCTAATTTTGGGTTTCGAGTACTCAAGGCCACTTGTTCGAACTAGGTGAAAGATCTGCCGATGTGCCCTTAAGCAAGGCACTTAACCCTATTTGCTCCTGTCGGTCGCTCTGGATAAGAGCGTCTGCTAAATGACTAAAATGTAAATCGGGTCCCACTCCCATCATTGCCCATATATATATTTTTTACAACTAATGAATCACTGTCAGACCCTATAGGGTCTGGATTTATACATGGTTAGGTTACCATATCAGGAAAAACTCTGGGTCCCAGGGAAAACAATTTGCCCCACCACTCCGGGACCTGTGGTGCCACCTCTGCATCAGGACATCATCACAACGCACAGAATCTGCAGCACTCCAATATTGTGAGCGAGATGACAAATCGAATCTCGAGTCATACAGCTCAAGTCCATGTTAAGTCACGAGTCATAGATGCTCAAGTCGAAGTCGAATGGCAAGTCACAAAATGTGCTACTCGAGTAGTACTCAAGTCCAAGTCACGTGACTCAAGACTCAAGTCTCTGCCCATGTCTATGCTTCCCATCCTTAAGTTTCCTTTTTTGCATAATTTTACTTTAGTTTTGTACACCAGCTTCAAACTGTTGAAAATGCAATATTTTTGGTTATTCCAAAGATATTTCACTGCAGTTTAGACGTTACAATGATTCTCTACACTATATATTGCTTGATTTGTCACATAAATTGAAATGAGCCAGTTTAGAATTTTAGCAACCAGTTAATGGAGGAGTGATTTCTAAAGCCGGAGTGATGTAAAGAAAACTGAAAAAACATAACACATTACAGGAACATGATCAGCATGACCACTGAGGATGTAAACGATGGAAGTGTGTCTTACCATCTCTGCTTCCCCCTCCTTGTCAAGGTGTTCACCTAATACCTCCTCTGCTGGGCCTTTCTTGTCAAGGTGTTCACCTAATACCTCCTCTGCTGGGCCTTTCTTGTCAAGGTGTTCACCTAATACCTCCTCTGCTGGGCCTTTCTTGGCAAGGTGTTCACCTAATACCTCCTCTGCTGGGCCTTTCTTGTCAAGGTGTTCACCTAATACCTCCTCTGCTGGGCCTTTCTTGTCAAGGTGTTCACCTAATACCTCCTCTGCTGGGCCTTTCTTGTCAAGGTGTTCACCTAATACCTCCTCTGCTGGGCCTAGAATGAAGGGTGAGATATAGTATTGTACATCAGCATACATGCAGAAAGTGGTTCTTATGCAGAATGAACATATGCAGAGTTTCATTGTTGTGTATTGTGTCTTTATCCTTAAAGAGCTGCATGTTGAACAACTCATCTGGTGACTGAAGCTTACAATTGAGTCATTTAGCAGATGCTCCCATCCAGAGCGTCCCACAGCTAATGCATTCATCTTACGATAGCCAGGCGAGACAACCTTATGATAGCCAGGTCGTGACCCCTCTGCCAGTAGAAATGTACATGTAGTGCTATGTATGTTATGTATTTTATTTGTTGTGCTGTTTCCTGTTTGGACCTCAGGAAGAGTAACCGCTGCCTTGGCAGCAGCTAATTGGGGATCCTAATAAAATACTAAATACTAAACACCAGAGCTGCCGGAAAGCGTGTGGCGAGACCACATTTGCTCCAGTACTTTTCAATCTGGTGTGGTCCTGCTACACCACTTTCAGAGCAGCAGCACCAACCGAGACAGTTCAACGTTTACCTGCTCTGTCGCAGTCTACCATTCTTCTTCTGTGGGTTTTATGGCGGACTACAACCCCAAAAGGTGTATTGCCGCCACCAACTGGACAGGATTGAAAAAACATACATACTTGATAGGGAAAACTAACTTAATCCACCCAAATAAAAACAGTACAAAACAAAAATCAAACACAAAACTCCCACTTCTTCCTTCCTTCACATCTCCCTTCTCAGGCTCTGGGGCCTGAGAGGCTGGTACGGATTGTGACAATACTCCATGCAACTCCTCCGCTGAGAAGCCTTTCAGTCCCATGAACCGCTCCGCCGCATCCAAAATTACATCTATTTTCCTGGACTTCCTCTCCACCTTGGCAGTACCATTAATCACCATAGCTATAAAGGCCACAAAGTCCACCTTCTTAACCTTTAAAATATCTGGGTCCTGCTGGTGTAAGGCAACCCCTGCAGCTTTCAGTGAAGGCCTATCCACCATCATGGACTCTTTAGGAGCACCATTCAACCCTGAACCCTTTTAACAGCCACTGCATATGAAATGCTCTGGACAGCCCTGACTTTGGCCACCTCATTCTCTTTCACCCTTGTCGGGCATTCAAAAGACGTGGCTTCATGGTTCCCACCACAATTGCAACATGTCACATTTTCATCACTTTTAAAACACATGATATGATATTTTCCACAACTTGGACATCTCGGCTTCTCTCTTCTGCAAACACTTGAAACATGTCCAAAAGCTTTACAGTGATCACACTGCATTGGTCTTGGGATAAATGCTCTGACTCTGTAGTTTATATACCCCAACTGCACTTGAGTAGGGAGAGACTCCATATCAAAAAACAAAAGAACAGATACACTTTTTCTTCATTCACCACATGATTCATCCGACGTACATCAATCACTACAGGAATATTTTAAATCTCTGCAACATCGACTTCCCACGAGATGAGGGGTGCCCTGTTCCGAAGAGACACACGACAAGTCAAACTTCTCAAATCGGGTGAGACGCAACACACATTCCTTCTGATCCTCAGAAGCAGTGGCGGCTCCTGAAAAAATTCTCAGGGGGGGCAATTTTTCTGATGATTTAGGTGACCTACACACATTTTTAAAAAGATATGTCCAGCAACAACATGAAGACAGGGGCAGCATATAAGTCAATACCAGAAGCATTTATTGACTGATCTCAAAAGTGTTGGCTTACAAAATCAAAATAAGTTATCACAGTAAAAATAATCAAGGGTGTTCTTTCACATTCCTCAACACTGCATAAACAATATACATTTCCATAAACAAATGAAATATCAGCTGAAAATACAGCATCTTGGTATTTGTTCAGATTGCAGGATCAACAAGAGCTTTTACCACATTTTTTGCCTCATGGTTGAATTGGAAATATGTGCACCTGAGCATAATTCACAACAAGTAAGCAGGAGCTTTTGATAGAGGCTACTGAAAACATTGATGCAAGTTATTGGTAATAAGACATTTTTATAGACTTCCATATTCTGCCCTCTTGTATAGATTTGTGAAAATGAACAGTGATAGACATTTTGCCTGAAAACAGAATTTGAAAGTAATTTCTAGAAAAGGTAAACACAGCTATCTGTATGGCTTTGTAAAAATGAACAACCATATTCTGGCCAATTGTATAGATTTGTAAATATGAACAACCATATTCTGGCCAATTGTATAGATTTGTAAAAATGAACATGAACAGATTATTTTTTTAAAAACTTTTTTTTAAATGAAAAATAACTATTTTAAACAACATCAACTGTGAACTGATTTGGGCGTGTGTGTGTTAAAGAGACAGACAGGGAGGGACAAAGAGAGAGAGAGGCTACATTACTTGTACTGAAACTGTTCTCTTCTCTGTTTCAATACAGCAAAGCGTTCAATGACTTTCTCATTGAAATCAGGCATGCTGAGGACTAGTTCCCTCTCCATGGAAAGCATGGCCAGTGCATTCAGACGTTCCTGGCCCATTGAATTTCGCAGGAATGTCTTAACTCGTGTCAAAGTTGAGAAACATCTCTCAGCTTCAGCTGTTGTCATGGGAGTAGTTATGAGGATGTTCAACAGAGTCACAGTCTCAGAGAACGTATCCTGGAGGTTGTAGCTCATGAGAACCTGGTACAGTGCCAGTGCACCACAGCCTCCCTTGAATTCAGGATTCTCATAGATCAGAGATAGTTCTGTCTTGAGCTTTGCCTTGCTCAGCATGGGGTATGCATTCACAGTGGCATTCAGAGCCTCATCAGGAAATGAATGGCAGTACCTTTCAAACATGTCTGCTTGCAGTAAGGTAGCACTCACAAGGTGGCCAGAGAAAGAGAACCTTTCTTTGGTGTGATCCAGGATGGTGTTGCAGACCTCTTCAGACAGCCTCTGCTTCTCCTCTTCTCTCAAAGCTGTTCTGGGTCTTTTGGCTCCTGTTGCTTCTTGCAGCTGCTGTTGAGAGGAGTCCCTGAAGGCAAACAGACCAATGTGTTTGTTGGCTTTGTACAGTATTGTTGTCTATGTGATGCACAGGTATATGCAATGTATCCATGTATAGTACAAATACTTCAGTTCCACTTAAAATGGGCAGGGATGCATAAAGTCTTTAGTGTTTAAGTTAGCCTTTGTGTCTCACATAGCCTGGATGTTCAGCACAGTATACAGTGGTGCTCATAAGCTTATGATCCCATGCTAAAGTTGACTAAAAAGAGGAATAAAAAAGAAAAGAAAATTGGTGTCCTTAAAGGTTGGATTTTCCAAATTTTTTAATTAAGTCATTAAGATCAATTTCCAAAAGATGATTTTTTTATTCAACTTTTTAGTCAACTTTAGAATGTGTTCATACACTTATGAGCACCACTGTACAGTACACATAGTATATAAAATAAGCTAGATTACACCACTGGCCATATATAATGAGAATAATGTAATTTCAAACACAAATGCAGTCTCCTTTCATGCATACATTTTCAAATAAAGCTCTGCTTTGAGAAAGATCGAATGATATTGTTTAATCTTACCTTATGGCCTGCACACTGCTTGTGAAGCTGTCGAGGGCACGTTTGATAAAGACAGCATCGATGTCCTTCTTCTGTAGCTTCTGGTACAGAATGTCGACGTGGGGCATGATTTTGTGAAAAAGCCGCAGGAAAAAAATAAAATCTTCATCATGTAGCATCCTCACGTAGCCAGATGCCTCTCTCACGGTGGGCTGGTAGCAGAAAACTGCATTAGCTACATCGCAGCCTGCTAGCCAGATTTTTCGTTCATACCAATTTTTGGAAAATCCTCGGGTGTAGGACTTTCCCCCTTTAGTAGAAACCTGTTGAATTATTAAATTTGGTCTGGGAGGTCCTAATTGTTTCGTTGCCAATTTCTCTTGATTTGTTCGCCGACAAAAAGGAACTTCTTTCAAAGAGACAATCGAGTTGCACTGAAGGCTAGCCATTTTGACAGTAGTAGTGAACTGATTGATGAGGCTACCCGCTCTTTTCTTAGTTACGTTCATGGTTATGTTACGTATGACGAAAGCACGTAAGTGCAAGCCCTCAGAAACCCATAGAGATTGTATTGAAAGCTCTGATATTTGAAAAAAATTGATTTTACATTAGAGGCTATGAGAGACTTCTGGGCGATTTTCAACCTGACTGAAATCGCCCCAAAACGGGCGGGGACATTTGAAGCACGACTTTAGCCTGATTGGACATTTAGTGGCAGATCAGACGTCTAGATTAGAACACTGATAACTACTGTTGCCGTGATATAATTGATTAGAAAAAAAATCCCTTCCTTTTCCCGTTTGGCAGTGCGTCGCCCATATCGCCCTAATGAACACACCGCCCCTGCTCAGAAGTACAAAAAAGTCGAAACAAGCCCGCCTCTAGTGATCCTCACAGCCTTCACTGTACCCAGTACTCTCTCCACCAGTTTGGATATCTCAAATGGTTTCTCCAAGATTGGTAATCCAATCAGCTGCTCCTCATTAACAAACTGTACTCCTACAAGACACGAAGGGACATTCTCAGCACTGTACGCTACTTTGCTCCGTTGTCCATTCTTTTGGACAATAGTCCAATTCTCCTTGATTCCACCGCCATTAGATTCAAGATCCACATTGACCTTTGCGAAGCCTCAGTTCCGCAGTCTACCATTGAAAACCATTGAAGACTACACGCAGAAAAGTCGTGCTATCGGTCACTACCTCAAGAAGTCTGATAAGAAGCTGAGCTGAGACTAGGTATGTAACAATGAAATGTCGTCCAATTGAGTACTCACTCTCTTAAACTTTAAATCTTGAAAGAAATTATTTGTTTGTGCTTGTGAACATGATTTAGTGTGGTGAATGTAAACTCAGCTGATTTCGAACAGGTAAGATGTATTCCAAAGAATTTAACATAAATACAGGAAATGTGTGCAATAGAAGTATACCTGCTGTTCTTCTAAGCCACCGTACCAACTTTCACTTCTTTCAACTTGCTGCTTCAGAGAGAGCAGTCATCAATATTTTTGTTACATGATGAGGTGGGATTGGATTTTGCTGTTTTTTTCCATTCTGTGTTTCTTGCTGATATCTGCAGGGATCCTCTAAAACAGGTTTCACCTACTATTTTTGTAAATGTCTGTTATAGATGGTGAAATTTGAACGCAAGCTATGTTCCAAGTTTATGGTTCAAGCAGCTCTGCAGTGCCATGAGGAGCCTTGTAAAATTGCCTTTAAAGAAAAGGCAAACCATTTACCAGGTTAGTATTTGACTATTATTATGATCAAACACTGTGATATGTGATATTTAGCCTTGTACCTTATACCGATATGCTGTATCTGTGACAGGAAGAAAGTTGAACATTAGGTTCACAACCAGGGCTAAATTTAACAGATTACTTGATGAGGGTGACATCACACCACAGCAGGTGGATTAATTCCATGAAGCTGTGTTGTGTTTCCTGACAAGTGCTGTGGACTATGCACTTAAGAAGCTGCCACTGGAAGAGCCACTGATCAAGCACGCACAATTTGTAGATGTACGGCAGAGGGCTGAAAGTGACATCGAAGATGTCCTGTACTTTGTTGAAAGGTTAGTTTTTTCTCTCCAATTATTGTCTATCATCTTAGCTAAAATACCCTGTGTTTTATGATGAGGTGTGTTCACTCCTAAACTGCACATGAGATATTCTTATGTGGCTTCTCCTCAAAGATGTGTATGAACTGCTGCTGGTTGATGACTATATACCTAAAACGTAACAACTTGTAACTCTAAGGAAAAACCCCAGGCCCCAGAAAAGACATGTACACATTTGCGACTACACTTTTGAACCTGTGGTGCAACTTCTGCTAAACACACTGTTGCTTTGTCTTTCCTTTCTGCACCTCCTCCTGTAGCTGGCTGATCTGCTGCTGTATCTTCTGCATCTGTTGCTGCTGCTGTTGATTCAACATGAAGCCCTGTAGCATTACTAACATCTCTTGTGTGTTATCAGAAGTGCCAGTGCTGTGAACAGGTGTGGTGTCTCTTCTGTCCCCTTCACCACCCGTTGCACCTGGTGACTCCTCATCATCAGGCCTCTCCATCACTATAACCCCACCTGGTGACTCCTCATCATCAGGCCTCTCCACCTCTATAACCCCACCTGGTGACTCCTCATCATCAGGCCTCTCCATCACTATAACCCCACCTGGTGACTCCTCATCATCAGGCCTCTCCATGACTATAACCCCACCAGGTGACTCCTCATCATCAGGCCTCTCCACCTCTATAACCCCACCTGGTGACTCCTCATCATCAGGCCTCTCCATCACTATAACCCCACCTGGTGACTCCTCATCATCAGGCCTCTCCATCACTATAACCCCACCTGGTGACTCCTCATCATCAGGCCTCTCCATCACTATAACCCCACCTGGTAACTCCTCATCATCAGGCCTCTCCATGACTATAACCCCACCTGGTGACTCCTCATCATCAGGCCTCTCCATCACTATAACCCCACCTGGTGACCCCTCATCATCAGGCCTCTCCATGACTATAACCCCACCTGGTGACCCCTCATCATCAGGCCTCTCCACCTCTATAACCCCACCTGGTTACTCCTCATCATCAGGCCTCTCCATGACTATAACCCCACCTGGTGACTCCTCATCATCAGGCCTCTCCATGACTATAACCCCACCAGGTGACTCCTCATTATCAGGCCTCTCCACCTCTATAACCCCACCTGGTGACTCCTCATCATCAGGCCTCTCCATGACTATAACCCCACCTGGTGACTCCTCATCATCAGGCCTCTCCATGACTATAACCCCACCTGGTGACCCCTCATCATCAGGCCTCTCCATGACTATAACCCCACCTGGTGACTCCTCATCATCAGGCCTCTCCATGACTATAACCCCACCTGGTGACCCCTCATTATCAGGCCTCTCCATGACTATAACCCCACCTGGTGACTCCTCATCATCAGGCCTCTCCATCACTATAACCCCACCTGGTGACCCCTCATCATCAGGCCTCTCCATGACTATAACCCCACCTGGTGACTCATCATCAGGCCTCTCCATGACTATAACCCCACCTGGTGACCCCTCATCATCAGGCCTCTCCATGACTATAACCCCACCTGGTGACTCCTCATCATCAGGCCTCTCCATGACTATAACCCCACCTGGTGACTCCTCATCATCAGGCCTCTCCATCACTATAACCCCACCTGGTGACCCCTCATCATCAGGCCTCTCCATGACTATAACCCCACCTGGTGACTCCTCATCATCAGGCCTCTCCATCACTATAACCCCACCTGGTGACCCCTCATCATCAGGCCTCTCCATGACTATAACCCCACCTGGTGACTCCTCATCATCAGGCCTCTCCATCACTATAACCCCACCTGGTGACCCCTCATCATCAGGCCTCTCCATCACTATAACCCCACCTGGTGACCCCTCATCATCAGGCCTCTCCATGACTATAACCCCACCTGGTGACTCCTCATCATCAGGCCTCTCCATCACTATAACCCCACCTGGTGACCCCTCATCATCAGGCCTCTCCACCTCTATAACCCCACCTGGTGGGGAATCCCAACACCTAAAGGTGGATGGGCTGCAGCAGTCTTCTAAAGAAAACATGTTTTTCAGAGTTTGTCCAAGTAAAGTAATAAACATTGTTAGTGGTTTATTCTCACAACAAATACAATTAGTGTTGGTTGATCATTCACTCAAGACAGCTGGGCAAAGATACATCAAAATGTATTCTGTTTCAAAGTACAAAATACCCTCCAACAAATTATCAACAGGATCAAAGTACTGATGGGAAACTGAGGCTTTCTGAAGGCTTCGGAGCTTTACATCACGCTTCCCTTTTTTGCCTTCAAGTTGACTATTAAAAAAAAAGAAAAATAATCTATGGCATTATTTAGGATGCGTAAGACAGAAGCTTATACTATACTAAATAAAACAAATTATGCAGAAAGTGTGGTTTCACATGAAAAAAAAATCTACAATATTTAGCCTTTGACAGGATAGGACCTCATACCCTTATGTACCTGAATGTTCCATAGTTCCCTGCTCTACCTGCTAAGCTACCAGTCAGGCAAAACTACATGTAGAAAATCCTAACTATATGTGTAAGTATGGTGTCCAATAGAGGTTGGTGTTTGAAAGCAACTTAGAATCGGAGAAAGCACCAGAACCATGGTGAAATCAGTGGGATCTCGCATTTTGCAACACTGTGTGAAAAGCATGTGATCAAACGATGCTTCAGACGTCATTGATGACATACTTCTGATAAAGTGATACACGTATCCGCACACTGCTTCGAAGTTAGCTGCTTAGCGATTTCGACGCATGTGTCGGAGCTCCAGTAGTAAACGTAACATCACTAATTTCCAGTGTGTGAGTGACTCCAATTTTTGGACAGTACATGCTCTGATTGTATGTTTAGTGTACAGACACCGGGGACAGGCCCGACGCAGCTGCGATAGGCTATACCCAACGCTACAACCCAGCAGGCTCGTCACCGACAGAGAAACAGCCCAGCAAGCAGCAACCGAAAACCGAGCCAGGCTGCCAAGAGCTCAACTCATTCAACGCTTTCTATAGCACTACTAAAGGAAAGTGCTTATTCCTCAACAAGCTCTGTCTCGCTGCAGAATTAGACGGTCATCCACGTTCTGCAAACGTTACATTTTGGAAGTTGCCCCAAACGTCAAATGTCTAAGTGTTTTTGTTGCTTCTGCTGTTCTGTATCGTTCCATTTCTCCAAACGTCACATTTCAAAGTTAAGGGTTAAGTTTAGACACTCATTCTGAATGGTTAAGGCAGTGGTTCCCAAACTAGTGGTTGAGACCCTATGTGTGGTCGCCTGAAATGAAAATGGGGTCGCGGGAGAATAAAAAAAATCCTGGTATATTATATCATCTTTGTCTCTCAAAATCATTGTAATGTGGTTAACCATAACAAACCTAAATGAAAATTCATTAAATCTAAAAGTTCTAATTCAACCAGAGAGCACCCTCAGATTGTGGGAAAAGGCAGCACTTGACCGTTGCATTTGAATCATTCCCACTGTGAATGGCTAGGCCCACTATGCTATGAAACCACACACTATTGCAGAGACTTTGATATTACTGGCTGCAATTGATATGGTGAAAAAAATGTGTGGGACCTGGGGAGGCACAGAAACTCAAATCAATACCTTTGTCAGATAACACTGTGAAACTAAGAATGGATGCTATAACTAGCTCTCCAAATAGATGTTAGCTGAGAGGTCCGAGATGTATTGACTCCTGTCAGGGGATGCTATTCACGAGGACATAATTGTTCTGTCTCACGATTCCCGAGCATGAAACGGCACAGGGAATGTTCAGTGTGCTGCGTGGCTATATTAACAAAAAACTGATTCCATGGGATCGAATGGTGGGCTTTTGCACAGATGGGGCTCCATCTATCACGGGACGGCGGGCAGGCCTCTGCACTCTAGATATGAAGGTGTCTCCCTCTGCCATATGGACCATTGTATGATACACACATTGAGCTATAATGGATACCCCGAGAGCAACTGGCAGCAAAAGAGCTGAGCGTAGAACTCAGAGATATGCAGCAGGTAACTTTAATTGTAAACTACATCGCGCACGCCTGTTCGCAAAACTTTGTGGAGATATGGGATCAGAGCATGACAATGTTGTATTCACACCAGGCTTGGTGGTTATCAAGGGGTAGTGTTGGAACAATTTTTCAAATTGAGACAGGAACTGTTATTCGCAATGGATATAAAAAACAGACTTTGTTGACTTTCTGTGTAATGAAAAGAAAATGTATCTCCTTGTCGCAGGCATGCAGGGGAAATACAATCTACAGATGAGTGACAGAATCAGCTAAATCCGTTTGACTATCAAATCCGTTGATCCTGGCTCAGTTGACATGCCAGTAAGTGACATTGAACAGCTGATCTAGCTGTCATGTGTTTGAATGCTACAGACAACTCATTCACGAGTCACTATGGAGGAGTTTTAGTTCCTGCCCACATCATCATTTAATTATCATAATACCCACATCATAATTTCTTTATCATAATACCCACATCATAATGCCTTATAATAACTATATTTACAAATTAAATGTATGCATTGTTATTATCGTAACTTATTACGGAAGGCTTTGTATAAAATAAATTACATAATGTCTTTACAAAAGTCATACTCCATTTTATATGTCAATTTGGAAAGACAAAACACCCATGTATTGTATCAGGCTTGTGTCTTGTAATAGTAACTTTATAGATGTCCTTACCTTTGCCTGTTGAGTTGGGTATCTGGAGTCGTATGTCTACTATAAAAGCTGACGTTTTATAGCGATGTGGGGCCTAGTTGTACTTCATGATGTGATTGAGCACCTTTAGCTTGAATGTTTTTCTTTTGTAGTCAGTCAGGTGATTTCTTGTAAATCATGAAGGTTGTTCCAGTCTGTCTAGTTCAGGTGCAGGAGCAGTTGCCCCTCCCTCGCATGCTTCCTGCCTCACCTGGGACAAATTTAGAGATTCCTGTTTTTCTACGGTCAAAAGACTACAACAGCCACAAGGCTGTTGGCAACCGTGAATGCAGTTGTTTAACATAGCAGTCAACCTATTTCCTGTAGTCTCAAAATGATTAAACATTTTGTTTAATCTAATAAAGTTTACTTTCAATGTATTCTTCAAATGGAGAACATGTATTAAATCATATCAGAATATATATAAGTTGACTCACCCAAATACAGTGGGGTCGGAATTATTGGATCCCTTGATAAAGATGAGCAAAAAATATTATAAAATAAATCATACAAATATTGTATGCAAAACAATACATAATTATATATATAAATATACTAATACAATTGCTCAGAGAAAGAGATTTTGTATAACAAGTAATAAAAAAAGCAATATCAAAAAGATAGGTGTCAAAAATTATTGGATGCCCTGTTTTCAATACCCTATCACCTTCCCCTTGCAAGCATAACGACGCTGAGCCTTTTTTCAAACCACAACAAAATATGAGATTGGAGAACATATTAGGAGGGATCTAGACCATTCCTCCATACAGAATATTTCCTTATCCTTGATATCCTTCATCTGCGTTTATGGACTGCCCTCTTCAATTCAAACCACAAAACCCCACCATCGAAAGCTGAGACTCACATGAACACATACATGTCAGTTGTTTTGCTCTGCGATGAACACAAGCCTCACAGGACTCGTCTGAACCAGGTACCAGTTTAAAAAATATAATTGAATTACTTTAATGACAAAAAAGGGGTTAAATATGGGTAAAATAAATATATAATAATTCCCTGAGCTTTCTTATATCTCAGATATAGGACAGACAATTTAAAACATATTTCCTTTTTTAATAAATGTTTAACTATCTGGTTTGTTATTCAGTGTGTTTCTATGGGCTAATAGCAGTAAGGCTAAATTCATTTTTTTTATATACCTACAGGGGTCTTAAAATTCAAAATCAAATAGATAAATGATCCTTGGTATGACC